CACACACATACATACACACACACACATGCAATTTGATAAAATACTAGCTGTTACTCTCAACTTCGCCCCATGGAATTAAAAAATATATAACCTATGTTACTCATTGATAACGTAGCTTTATAATAGTGATAGAATTTTTGAAATCGGCCCAGTAGGTTTTGTGTTATTTCTATGCATAAAAAAGTACAAACCTCTCCTCTTTAGTATATTAGTATAGATATAGACATAAAAGATTGCGAATGTTCGACTAACGGAGAGACGTTAAAAAAAATATTATCGTATATAGCTTCTTAACAAGCAAAATAAGAAAACAGTAATAGTAAACAACACATGAAAAGAATTTCGTGTAATCCTTAAATTGTATACCTGTTTCAGATCAAAATCAACCGGAAGCTGTTACGACACCACTGGCCAGTGTACAGGAAGAGAAAGACGAGAATGAGTGGCCTCAGCCGGATGAACAGAAAGAACCACAAGAAAATGGTAAAACTCTTTAAAATTTAAATATTAGTTTCAAAATGAGTACTTCATAGCCTTAGTAGTTAGAGTATATAGTATTAACATTGTTTGTTAGAGTTTGTAGCCTAAACGGCTTAGCGGATCTCAATTAAATATGCCATAGATGTAGAGTTCTGGAAGAACACATAGGCTACTTACTTTTTTTTATTCAACGCGGATGGAGTCACGGAAGAAAGCTGTAGTTATTAGATTTATCGGTTTATGTTTAAAGTTTTTTAATTGATATTTCTATGTTGTATAGGTCATCGAGAAGAGAATAACAATGATATGCAGCGCAGAACTAGTGTGGTGGGAGATGATCTAGGAGAAAATCAAGATGGAGACGTACTAGAGTCTGCTCCAGTCATATCTATGGTTACAAACCACACCAACGGAACTTTGAACCTTTGGCAATTAACATTCGATGATAAATCAAAGTTTTCACAGGTAAATAATTTTTTTCTAATATATCTATAGATGATGTATAATATTTTAATTTTAAAAATGTGTTCTTGTTTTTCTAGGTGCTATCAATAGGCCATGCTTCAAGAGCGTCCGGTCACAGGTTTAGAGTTAACGATATTACTTGCCATCCAGTATTACCATTATTGTTAACAACCAGTCATCATAATATATCCGGTAAATATTTACATCTGTCTCTGACACGTGTCAAAGAATATTATATCTATCTTTGTTTTTTCCAAACAAAATGTTAGGGTTTTAATTGCCTTATGACCTGTCCCACCACTAGCTGATACAGGCTCAGATAGCTTAAAAATGACGTCACTGTCAGATAAAGTAACAAAATCCGATATTTCCATCACATATTTTACACGGATTGGATTGTTATCTGACAATTTGCAAGAATTTGATAGGACTGATTAATTTACTTATGACAGTCGTAATTACAGTAAAGTATTCTCTACTGCATGTATTATTTATTTTTCAACGTGAAATCGTTTTAAAAACCTGTTTTGGTAAAATCAACTTTATCAGTACAGGATAAGGTTTAATTTGCGATGTATAGATGCGGAGCGTGGTGATCAGCGCGCGGAGGACGCGGGCGCGGCGGGCGGGCTGTGCTCGGAGCTGATAATGTGGCGCGTTGAGTGCGTGGGCCCACTCGCCAAGTC